TTTGAGGAGAGAAAACATTTAACTCATAAAAGCCTGCAGGATACCCCCATATATAAAACCACATCCATTGTCGCGAATCGATACATCTTGGAATCTATGTATTTGATACCCGAATGAAATTTGTATCGCATGTAACTTCGAAAGATTGAATTTGAAATCATCCCAAGTAGAACTTATAGGCATATGACTCGATTCATCCCAGTCTATTATATCAAATTTTGAGATTTTTTCTTACCACCTACACTTTGGAGTCTTCAATCTTATTAGATTCAATTTTTTTTAATTATAATTTACTGATTCGGGCCAACCTTGCCTTAAATAAAGGCGATTATTATATTTTGATTGCACTATTTCTTTTTAATTTTTTGTTTTCTTAAAAGATGGTATAATATATGTTCTGTTCAAAATGATTTTTTGACATTTATATTTTCAATTTTTTTTTATATTATGCACATAAAAAAAGTTCTCTAAAAATTGTTTGCTTATAAAATAAAAAACAAAAATATTCTATATTTATTTGTGTGTATATTTAAATTGTTTTTAATGCACTTTGGGTGTTTGATTTTTATTCATTTTTTTATTACACTACAATTACTTAGACAATAATAAATACGATTTAGACTATTAAAAAAATAAATTTTTGTTAATGAGATTTTTGCATTCAATTTTTTTTTCTTATAAAAAACAATATATAATCTTTTTTTAAATTATTTCCTTTACTTAAATTACATTTATCAACCGTGTATATAAATATTAAATTTATTAGAAAAAAGTAATGAAATAAAACAATTTTAATAACTATGACTAAGAACAACAATTATTTACTTATAATAAAAAAAAATCTAAAGAAAGTGTAGTTATATATATATATTAAATAAAAATATATTATTAATTATTTATTTTCTTACATTTATTGTACATACATTATTAATAATAAATATATTCTAAAGACTTTATTAATTTTAAATATTTTCTAAAGACTAATGACCAAATAGCCGGGGCTAGCAGAGAAAAAAAGCTTGTATGGGAGGAGGGAAATCGTAGAGGTTGGGGGGTGAGGTAAAAATAAAATTTGCAAAACAAATTACCACACATATTCCAAAAAAACTGTGAGTAAATTATTATCTGTCTCGTGTATAAAAATCATTTAGAAAAAATTACAACAAAGTTCTGTTTTTTGTATTTTAACAATAACAACAAAAATTAACTACATTTAGTAAATCGACAAAGAGAAACTAAAACACAATTTAACATTAAATGTCATGTTTTACAAAATATAATTAATATTAAATGCCAGCAGCGGCAACAACAACAACGACGACAGCGTCAATTCGCCAAAAACATGCAACAACATTGCCCCTGAAATTTTATTGTTAATTCTCTCAATGCCTTTAAAATTAACAACTACAATTAGTATTCGAAAAAATAATATTTTAAATCGTTTAGTTCCGGACAGAGAAAACCAATCGATATCATTAGGTTGGAGAAAAATAAAATCTCAGGTAATCAAAGCCATTTCTAACTATTCTTGAATTTTATGCGACTCTATTTGAGACGAGTATGGCCGAAGTAGAAGGATCAGTTTTTATCAGTATAGTATAATTTTGGAGTCCGACCAAAGGAATACATTCTCAACCTCAAAATTTATCTTTTTTTTTATTAATTTCTCTTATGAGATGAGCTACATGATCGGAATTGCAATGAAAAGGAAAGCCAGAGAGATACTACATTCACACCACAATGCGACGCGTTTCGCCGTTGGTTAAGCGGCTCATCAGGCATATTGGGCAATGTGGCTTACAAATGTCTTTACTTGATAAGTTGTATTTATGTCGACTATTGTTGCGAAATTGCATCTACGAATTAAATTCAACCGTGTCAAGGTTCGGACATTTGGCATCACACCAGAACATTCCTTTTCAGAGCAGATTTTTCTTGTAGTGACGGACTTTTTTTCCATACAGACTACAATATTTGTCTTCAATGGTATGCAACTGCATATTGTGCAACCTTAGGTGGCTTTGAACGCTAAGGCGCCGGACATCAACAGATGCCATGGGAACCAGGGTTCAAATCCCAGCCGTGCTCAAGCTGAATTTTTGAGTTTTTTTAATTTTTAACCACATTCGTTTAATTCGTAACCACATGTTTGTCATTAGATGTGCTTTAGCAATTCAAAGCCTGCAAGATACTCCATTCTCACTGGACTCACTTTGTTTCTATATCTTAAACATGCTTGACTTTTTTTCCATCGATGGAATTGAGGTGCCCTCGAGACGCTTGTATCGACATTTTAGTTGGGACATGACGCCAAATACACTTTTCTGACTATTCTTAATGTTTTGAGACAAATATGGCTAGGGTAGAAGGATGAGTTTTTAATCAGTATAGTATAATTTCCAAATCGTACAGAACGATAATATGTTCTTAACATCAAAGTGCAGCATTGATTTAATTCGTGACCACATATTTGTCATGAGATGTGCTGCTGTACAACCTTGGCAAAGACTTTGATTGGATGGGAGCTACTTTTCTTTTAGCTATTAAAAGACTGTAAGATATTTGATTGTGGAAAAAACTGAAACTTCTGAGACACATGTCTATTTTATAGAAGAAATCAGATTCCCACAGGATTTACATTTCTTCTATAGAAAAAAATCGATGGATTTTATTTACTTGACAGACTGTACCAAATATTCTTTTCAAAGTAGAAGGATGAGTTTTTAACCAGTATAGTATAATTTCCAACTTCAAAGTTCAGCATTGCTTTAATTCGTAAATACATATTTGCCATGCGATGTGCTGCTTCAAAAGCTCAAACCTCACAGGGGTTCTGCTTTTGGTTTAGCTCTTAAAAGCGATCAATATACTTTGTTCGGGAACAAAATCAGACTGATCTTTTATCTATACGAAGAAGTTCCAGAGACTCATAATTTTTTTTACACGATCAATTCTGAGGACTCATGACTTTTTGTAAAGGAAAAATTCTGAGGCCCTCGAGACGTGTATCGGCGTGACACAAATACCCTTTTCTGATTATTCCTGAATTTCCGAACCAAAAGAATATAATCTCAACATCAAGGAAAGCTATTGGTTTAATTCGTAAGCACATATTTGCCATGAGATGAGCTGCTCCAACCAGAAATGATGCATTTCAAGGGTACTTAGATTTAGCCTTGAAAATACTCAATTGGGGTACAATCTGAGGCTTTTGGGGTTCATGTTTATTCTATAGAAATAATCTGATTCCCACAGGACTAACAGACAAAAGCTGAATTCTGATGCTCTCGACACACATGTATCTGCTTGCTTAGTTGGGACATGACGCCAAATAACTTCTGAATATTCTTAAATTTTTGGGACTATTTGAGGCGAATATGGTCAGATTAGAAGGACGAGTTGGCCAAAGTAGAAGGACGCGTTTTTAACGAGTTTGTGGTAATTTCCGAATCGGACCAAATTCTCAACTTTAAAGTTAGCCATCGGTTTAATTCATAATCGCATATTTGCCATGAGATTTTCAGCTTCAAAAGATCCAGGTATTGTCTTGATTAGATTTGGGTGTTAAAAGACTGCCAAAAAATTGATTCTCACAAGACTCACATTTGTTTGTAGTGGTTTATGTATGGTCTGTATTGTGTATAGTTAGAACATGAAGCTCAATACCTTTTCTTCTGACAATTCTAGAATTTTGCAATTCTATTTGATACGAATATGGCCAATGTAGAAGCGGAATTTTTCAACCAGAACAGTACAAATTCTGAATCGGATCAAACATTTTTTCCAGTTCAGTTTGGTATAATTCGACACATTTTTGTCATGTGATTTTCTCCATCAAAAGCTCCAACCTCGAAGAGACATTGTTTGCAGGGAGCTACTTTAGATTTAGCTTAGAATGCAATTTATTTCATTAGGGATTCATCTGTGGCTCCTGGGACCTATCTGAGAAAAACTCTGATTCTCACTTTTAGTTTTTTATTTATCGTCTGAATTTTATTTCGTTGGGACATGAAGTTCAATTTGTATTTGTGAATCCATGGAACATTTCTCATTAAAATCTGGATGATTGGGAAACCATTTAGTCAGTTTAAATTCCGGTCAATAGTAGTATCTGATCTGCCAGAGGCACAATTTAATAATTCATTCAAGTAAAGCTCACGACGTATAACTTTGGCGCCCAATATGCAGAGTTTTTTTAGACAAATCGCTCAAATGTCTGCAACAAACAAGTGCCAGAGGATGGAGCGGAAGATGTTGGATGAGTGATCATATTCAATCTGAAATTTTTGGCTTCGGTATTCATAATTTTTGTGAGGAACGTGGGACTCAGATTTTTCCTCATGTCGCTTTGCGAGTTCATTTTTTATAGCAAATAATTATGAGATCCTCTGGATTCATGTTTTTCTAAAGGAAAAATTCAAGGATCCTAAGGGCGTATCTTGTTTTATAGACAGAAAATGCGAGACCTCCAGGAATAGCATTTTTGCTATAGAAAAAAATTAATTTTTTCCTATAAAATGCTGAGACTATCGAGACTCATATTTTTCTATAAGAAAAATTCTGAGACACTCAGAACTCATATGTCTTCTTAGGAAAAATTCTGATAACCTAAGGAATCATAGTTTTTTGTATAGGAAACATGACGAGCTCGGAGCCCATAGTTTTTTGCATAAGAAAAAATTGTGATGACAACAGGGCTCGTCGTTTTTTTTTGTGTAGGAAAAATTCTGATGTCTTCGGTACCCATAGAATTTTGCATTGGAAAAATTGTGATATTTATTTACTCGTTTTGTTTTAATAGGTAGGACTGATGGTTATTTTCTGTAAAAAACTATCTGCGTCCTGAAATCGTGCGTTTTCTATAGAAAAAATTGCTTATCACCACGGGACACAACGTTTTTATTAGAACATTCCTGAAGCCATTGTCGCCTTCTCAATTCTACATTCGATGTATTTAAAAGTCCTTGAGATACCTATTTTTCCACCTACCTGTCTATAGCCTACTTTTTATTCAATAATCTAGTCTTTTTATACTTGCGCAACACTCGATTGGCATGATAGAATTTAGAGATTTTCTTTTGAGCATATTTTTCATGGAGATATTTGAAAAATTCTTCTTGTAAAAACTTCTTCAAATTATCAGGTACAATTTCTTCATGATGTATGGTCGATAGATCGGACATACTATCGCTCGATTGATCTTCATAATCCGTGATGAAGGGTATATAGTCACGATGAGGTGGTCTAGGTGAAAAACATTTCGGTGGAGGAGGTTGAAATTCAACATCGGTATCACAATCACTTAATATGATGACCTCACTTTCAGAATCCGAACTGATAATATGAATTTCAGAACTTTCATTATCACGATTGACAATGCCTATCAACTGGAGGGTATTAAATCTTTCTGTGGGTAATACAATTTCTCGAGACTCAGGGGCGGAATTATTTTCAGTACAGGAGGTGGTAGTAGGGTTTTCATTGGCTGGATTCTCGTTGTTGCTGTTGGCAGTTAAATCGCATTGCAAAACATAGACATCGTTATCACTACTATTTAAGATTTCTTGTAAATTGATTAGAAGCAAATCTTGATTGGGCGCCACTGAGGCCTTATCACTTTCATTGTCCTCAGGATCGGATAACATAACACCAGCTTGGCGATACATTTCCGCCAAGGTTTCCTCAACACTTAGCTCACGTTCCACAATTAATTGGGGAGATGGTTCATTGTTTGTCAAGGCTGGCGTTTCCGCTTCCCCTTGGACTACTACTTCTACTACGGCTTCGGTGTTTTCTTTTTGTACAATTCTAAGATTTTCTATATTCAAGGAACTATTTAAGGCAGCCCTACAAAGGTCACTTAACTTTGGTATTACACATAAATTAGTTGAGCTATTGGTTTTCTTATTTTCTACAGGGGAGGCATTTTTCTGCGGGGTGACATCTTGGTCTTCATCATTGGCTGGTTCATCATCACTTTCTAACATCTTTTTGATATGTTCTATATCATTTGTTGATATGCTAACATTCTGCGTTATGCTTACCCGTTGAGGTTCAGTCTCTTCTAGGTCTTCGACACTTTCGTCTGCTTCTGCCAATCCTTCTCCTTCTAATAATTTTTCCAAGGGATCAGCATTCGTTTCGATGTCACCATGTTTTTGGGCCAAATTGTGTTGGGATAGTTCTTTTTCCAAGGCTTCCAGTTCATTGAATTCTGAAGATTTACTGGGCGATTTATCGGCAATGATATTGTTGTTGTGGATTCCATATTGGAAGCCATCATTGGCTGTGGAATCCTCATTGAGATTTTCCACTTCTCGCCGCAGCAATTCTTCTTCATGAGGATCTTCAAAGCCATTGAAGTCGGAACCTTCATCAAAGCTGGTTTGGTATTTGAAAGCCAAAAAGTCATTAGATTCATCAGGGGTATTCTCACGGTGTGATTCAGCAGCTAATGGATTAAGGGGTTCGGTTGGTGATGAAACCCTGCTCATCTCTTTGCCGGCTTCGGTTGTATAATCTATTGATACATTGGAATCCTTAATTTCTTTGGTTGCATCAGTTGTTTCACTTTCATTAAGGTGGTTCTCATGGTGTGATATATCTCCCGACGTTCGATTAAGGGATTCCTTGGGAGATCTTGTCTGCACAATTTCCCCATCATCCGTGTTACCATGGTCTGGGGAAGCATTGAAATACCTTACACTTTCCGATTCATCAACTGATGTATTTTCTTTAAGAGTGTTCGCATGTTGTTGCACGTCTTCAGGCGATGAACTAAGTGATTCCTTCGGGCATGCAGCATCAAGAATTTCTTTATCACTTTCATTATTCGTTTCTGGGAAAACCTTGTCATTATTTACTCTGTTCACTTCTACAGCTGATGTATTTTTTTTAGGGGCATCCACATGGTATGATATATCTTCAGATGTCAGATTATGTAAACCTTTCGATGATACAACTTCAAAGATTTCTGCATCATCTTCAGAGCCTTCGTCTTCAGCAACCTGGGAATTCTCAGCTGGTTTGCCTTTATCAGCTGCTGTTGTTTCATTAGGGATGTTCTCAGTAGTAAATATATCTGCAGATGGTGTTCTAGGGAGTTCGCTTGCTGATGAAGTCCGGATTTCGATTTCCTCACTCTCTTTTCGCGCCTCACCAATTGAAATGAACTTCTTTTCACATTCAGTTGCCGTTTCAACTGAAACATTGGAACGCGGAGCGTCATGAGATTCACCAGTTGTGACAGTTTCATTAGGGTCATCCTCACTGCTCAATATATCTTCCGATGATGTTTTGGAACACGGCTCAGGAGATAAAGATCTGACAATATTTTCGTCATCTGTGGCAGACCTGTAGCGCTCAACATCATTGTTAGAAGCAGCTGGTGTAGTTTCAATAGGGAGATTCTCACTATTCGATATATCGTCTGAAGTCGTTTTGGAACATTCTTTGGGAAATGAAACCCTGGAAATGTCTCCAACAATATCCACTTTGGGACAATCATTGGAGGATGAAGCCCTGACAATTTTTCTAGCACCTCCAGCTACCGGATCTTCGGAAACATTGAAGTGTTCGGCATTATCACGGCTACATACATTTGCAGGTGGTGTATCAGGAGATTCATTGGGAGATGAATCCCAAATGGTCTTATTTTGATCTTCGACTTCAATTGCAATATTTTCCTTCCTTACGGATACATCGGACGATGGTGTTTTCGGCAATATATTTGGAGTAAATGTCTTCGTTATCTCGTTACGATCTTCACTTGCCGTATCTACTGTAACGCTTAGTGATTCCGCTGTCGAACATGTTAACTCCCTACTCTCAATATCAGCAACCTTTTCATCAGATCTTTCTGGTGGCAGGGGAATATCTTTCAGCAATTCTGGATCGGTAATGGTAAACATTTCACCAAATGGGTATATAAACAGTGATGAAGATCCAATATTCTCGTTTTGATCTTTGAGTGACAAAATTTCCTCCGCAACTTTTGGCAAGTCTTCTGTAGCACTTGGTAACTGGATACTCTCAACCTCAGCAGATTCAGCAGCTACGTCATCTTGACATTCAATGTTGCATTTGTTTTCCACCTCAGATTCTTCAGAGGTATTTCCTCTAATATCCGATTTATGGGATTCTTCCGCAACCACAGATACTCTAGTTTCGATTGTGCCTTCAGCGATATCACATCCTTTCCTTTTAAAGGAACGACACTTTCCCTTAGTGTTCCAAAAGTTCATTTCTGGGCTAGCTTCACGGCTGTACAGGGGGATAGATGATTTTGTAAGGATTTCCTGTGTAGTCTGCGGACATGAGTGAGGAGAAGCAAGGTCAGCGGAATATTTTTCACGTTCTAAGGTCAATTCTTTGTCGCACACAGCTTCAAGTTCTGGTTGGGATTCGACAACCGACAGTTTTGTAGGAAGTTCTTCATCAAATGACGTGGAATATGTAGCTTTGCGTGGAGACTTCGGCGGATCTTCCAGTGTAGGATTAGATATATTTTTGGAGCCATTTGAAACATCGCAAACCACCGATTCGTTTTTGGCAGTAGAAAATTCTTCGGTTTCTCCAACGATTTCTGGGGATTCTTCACTGTTATTATCTGCTAACAATCTTCGGATTTCTTCGCTTTCTGACACTTCTGTCCTAGAATTCGCTGATTCTTTTGCAAATTCCCGAACTTCTGTATCCACAGATTTTCCAACAAATTCCAGACACACTTTAACTTCTGAATCTGCGTTTTCTGGAAATTCTCGAACTTCTGATTCTTTAGATTCTTTAACAAATTCTGGACAGACTTTCGCTTCTGACTCTTTTGTTTCTTCAGGGAACTCTGAAAGCTCAAGACTTGTATTAGCTTCTGGCTCTCCAGATTTTTCAGCATGCTCTGCGGGTTCAGAAATGTTATTGACTTCAGTCGCAATGGGTTCCTCGGCAAACTTAGGGAGCTCAGCACTTTCGATAACATCTGATTGAAGAAATTCATGATGTTCACTCACTACTGAGTCAATTGGTCCTTCGACAGAGACTTGTGATTCTGCACAGATTTGTATGTTACAATCTGTGTCACTTGGGTCGGTAATCGAGTACGCAATGTTTTTATTTTCAAGTGTGATATCTGTAGGACCTTTAGCGGTTTCCAGGCTTTCTTCTTCTAGGATGGGAAGAATTTCTTCTGATACTGCTTCAGCTTCTTGAACGGGAAGTGCTTCCTTCGATATCTCTTCTTGAATGGGAGATGTTTCTATAGACTCCACAATCGAATTATTAGTCACATCCGTAGCATTCTCTTCATCCATTTCCTTAGGGATTATTTCTGTTTCAGCGGTTGCAGAACATGGGGAGGGTTTTTGTTCCATTAGTTCTTTATCAGATACAGGAATTTCTTCGGAATCTTCGCGCTCAAATTCCGTACAACACTCTTCGTTTGTCATATCCACGAGAGGTGAGTCTTGCAAAGACGGGGACTGAAGAATGTTCTCCGTAAGGTATTCGTTTTGCAACTGTGCTTCATCGATAATCGACTTGCATTCCGCAATATTTGAACTAGGTGAGCCATGGTTTAGAGATTTTTCTGAAACTTCCGTCCATATACATTCGTCTTGATTTGATGAGACTTCTTTCACGGAATCTTCAATTTGAGTTTCATCTTTCTTAGAAAAATGTCCGTCTGGGATTTGTACTTCGCTTTCCTCGGACACATTTGGTTCTTCGACCTCCTGAGGAATATCGTCTGAATTTGTCTCCATATTCATGAGTTCATTTGGTTCCTGGGAGAGTTTGGAGAATGTAATTTCTAGGTCCAGATCTTTGGAATTTGATATTTCAATGTCTCTCCTTTCACTGGCTACCTGATTTTCTATAGCGGACTGACGTTCTCTAACGAGAACTTCGGAATTTGTTGACGACGCCATGGAAGGTTCCTCTGTAATGAATGATTCACAAGTTTTATTTTCTATTTCAGGTTCCACGGTATCAGACGGAGATCCGGAGGCTGTATAATCCGCAGGATTTTCATCTTGAACTGAGAATGGTGTATCGGGGTTATGGGTCTCAGTTTCGGCTTCCACATTACACTTTGGTACAACTTCATTTGTTTGGTTTTCGACTTTGGAATCATTTGTATCATTTTGCGCGTCGTTTGGCGAACAGTCGATATTCTCCGGTGCACCTTTTGACAAATCGAGAACCTCACTTTCGGGCAGAATATTAAATTCTTCGGTGGTTTTGAGATCTGAAGACGTCATCGCAGATTGTTTTTGGGGTTCAACCACTTTCTCCAAGTCAATATTTTCTGCTATCTCGCCTCTGGGTGACGAAATATCCTCACGAATTGGTGATGAGTCGGAACACTGAGACGAAGTGTCACTTTCATTATCCACGATAACCTTTTCTTGTGGCTTTTGGACTGTTGAAGAGATGTCTTCTTCATCTGAAGATGAATCGGAGCTTTGAGATGAAGTGTCACTTTCGTGATCTGATTCAAGATTTTCGTCTTGCATTTGTTTTGGTGGTAAGATAGCTTTTAGATCGCTGGAATTTTGGACTGGATGTTCAATTTGAAAGAGAATATTTTCTTCCGGCTGAGGTTTGCTTGAGGAAGGTACAAATGATTCCACTGTTTTAAACGCTTCTGATTCATGGTGTTTCTCCCCCATACTATGGTCTTCATTTTCGATTTTCTTATTCTCCTCCGCTGATTCTAAATCTTTTGCGTCGGGACGATGATCTGAATGAACACTGCTGGACGTTGAGTCGTCACAAATATCTACATGTTCCTCCATTTGCGACATGGGACTCTGAGCTTTCTCCGATGTTTCTGGTTGCCCTTCATATTCCACCATTTGTGGCTTAGGGCTCTGAGTTTGGTCTGATGTTCCTGATGGTACTTCAGAGGTGTGATTGTCAGGGATCCGACTTTCTTCAGTAGGTATTATTTCTGCGGAAAAGTTCTGCGAAGATTCCTCATGTAACTCTTCGGTTGCAGTGAAAGGCTCTGGCTCTTGAATTGTTCCTCCGGAGTTCGTTGCATAATCCAAATTTTGACAGTCGGTAGCTTCTTCATTCTGTGACGTCGATGTCTCCGTTATAATAGGTATAAATGTTTTATTAGGAGGACTACATTCTTCATTGCTAGAAGCTTTAGCACAGTTCAGCATCGAATTGTCAGCTTCACTTTGATATTTGGGAGAAGTATTTCCATAGATTTCTTCAGAATTGGATTTATGTTGGTGATCAATGCAATTTGATTCGGAATTATTGGGACTTCCGGAATCAGTTTCAACATTTTTGATTACCATGGAGTGCTGCAAGGATTTAGAGAGTGTGTCTATGTTGCCACAAGAATTTCGACGAGATGGTAGATCATTTTCGGCACTCGTTACGTTTTCGTTGACCACGGTGTCGATATTGTCTAAAGCAGGACCTGAATTTCGAAGACTTTCATCTTTCTCGACATCAGCTGGAAGCAAACCCAATGATGCCTTCAGTGATTCCTCCATAGCTTCCGTTGGTATTTCTGGTGTCTTGGCGATTAAATTGAATTGCGAATCATCATCAGATGCACATCCAAACATGGGCTCGTTCGGTTCGTTGTTGTCTTGTGCGACTGGAGATCTCAAATCATTATCTGAAAAATCATTCAATTTAGCCGGAGTAGCTGGTTTGGAAATTATTTCTCCGAATTCTTCGGCAGAATCGGATTCCGCTTCCGATGTACAGTCACCGGTGATATCTACAATATTTGCAGGGTTCTCTAGTATATCAGGTGTGGTATGTTGAGATTGTTCAGGATTATCCATCTTGTTTTGGGTTTCTTCATCTTCGGATTCTTCAGAAGACGATGATGATGAGGAGGAGGTGTCGGAGTCTTCGGTGAGTTCAATTACCCCGGAATTACTAGTATTTTCAGGGGTAGATTTCAGGCATTGCATTCGGCTTGGGAATAGTATTAGATGTGCGGGTCTCATCGATCTTCGGAAGGTCTTCTTTGGAATTTTTGTTGTTGTTCAAGCCTGAAGGTGCCGCGGATTCAGTAGATTTTTGAGGTGTAAGATCTCCAGTGTTATTGGAGGCTTCGCTGAAGTTCATAGGACTGCAGGATTCTTTTGGCGAAGTTTTTTCATTACAACTCCGATATTTGTCTCTCTGTTCGATGCTCTGATTCATTGACTCGCAGTCACTTGACGTGTCATGTTCTAGTCCTGTAATAAGTGTAGAAATTGCACGCAGGACAACCTCATTTTTGCGTGTGGTTTTCGACTTGGAATATTTCCGATTGGATGCCTTCGAACACAAATGGCCGTAGATTTCGTAAGGTGCATTATTTATAATCGCTTCTTCGTTAGGACTTTGGTAAGATTTGCTCTCTAAACTTGGTACTGGAGACGGGAGCCCCGATGTAACTGCAGAGGTTTCAGATACTTCTAAATTATCATTTGTGGAAGGAACTTCTTGTTCAGGACGTTGCTCCAATGGCGATTTTGATTTTCCTGCCGATTCTTTATCCACACCTGAGCGAGAGCTCGTCGGGGAGAAAATCGCTGGTGTTTCCGTTGAGGGAGAACTTGGGTTTCCTTGGGCAACTTCAGGATTTTCTGAAGTGAAATTTTGACTAGCATCGGCGTCTTTTTCCACACTTGAACTTGGACTTATTGGAGGGAAAATCTTTGGTGTTTCCGGTGAGGGAGAAATCACTTCCTTTTGGTTTACTTCAGGAATTTCTAAAACAAGTTTCTCTCCAGGTACTTCTGAAATGGAACGTTCGTCAACGTTCGCCTCTTTTTCCTGACTATCACGTGAAGTAGTAGGGAATAAAGTAGGACTACTTATGTTTTGAGGTTCTTCCGTGTGTTCCAGCACATAACTTTCCCCCACTTCTGCGCCCTCGTTTTCTTCACTATCCCTTGAGCTTTCATTGAGATCTATTGGTGTAAAATCGAACTCCTTCAACATACCCTTGGTTTTACATTCACCTCGCCTCACAGCGGCCACCGCATTGCTGGTCTCCCGAATTTGTGAACGTTTTTCACATTTCTCCACGACTTTTCTAAGGGTCTTCAGGGTTTTATTTTCATGTTCGGCATCTCTACTAGAATCCGAATCACTTGAACTACAACTTTCACCATGTTCTCCTTCATCATCATCGGAACTATCCGATGAACTAGAAGATGATGAGGAACCTGAAGATGATTCTGAATCGGAATCACTTGATGATGATGATTCATTATCCGATCTCTTTGGTGACACCTTGGAAACGGTAAAAGTTTTATTGATATAGGAGCTTGCCGATTCCGTATTATCGGAACCCTTGGGATTGGTAACATGTTTTCGAATGACCGTTGTGGTTTGGGCTTTAATCCTTAAAATTATGGGAGGATTTTTGGATGTGGACTTGTCTTTTGCCTTAGGAGATCGAACATCCGATGGAGAGGTGGAGTTCCCCATTTCCTGGAGAGAGTTTTCTAGGCTTGCTGGTTTCGGAGAACTGGAGTTCTCTCCGCGTTGTTGTGCTTTACTTTTGGCTTTACGTATAACAGTTGTCTGCAAAGCCTGAGGACTTCCGACGGCCTCATAACATTTTTTCTTCACCTCAAAATCATGATCGGAGGGTGTAGTTTCAATTTTCCGAATGACGCTGGTGGCTCGAGGTGAATCGATTTGTTTGGGTGATTTTTGTAGATCCATATCTTCACGGTGTTCTGAATTTTGATTTGTGATGTTGACTTCTAAGGGAGTTACTCCTGCAGATGAGCCAGTGTTGATAATTTTTATAACGGGATTTCGATATTCGGGCAAAACTTCTTTGGTAGCGTTCAGCATATCTTCTGCAACGGAATCTTTGTCTGATAGAAGTTCCTTCGCTGTTGAACTGCTTAGGGAAAGTTGAGCATCGTCCAGAGCTGCAATTTCCCTTAGGGGTTCATTAGGAGCCTTAGTAGATTCGATTACGGGTTCCTTGAGGTGCAACGAAGCATTTGATTCAAAGATATCGCTAAACGTTCCCTCTGGAGCTTTCGTAGATTCTATTAGGGGTTTGTGTAGATCCAACACCTCATTTGAGTGATGGATATCGTTAGGGGTTACCTCAGGAGCCTTGGTAGATTCTATTTGGGGATTCAACATCTCATTCAATCTACCAAATTCGTCAAAGGATTCATTGGAAGGCTCTGGCGTTTCTGTTGGAGGTTCCGTAAGTTCAAAGACCTCATTTGACTGAGAAAATTCCTTGAAGGTTTCCTCTGTCGCCTTGATAGGTTCTGTTAGGTGTCCCGTCTGATGCAACAACTCATTTGATTGAGAGAATTTACCAAAGGATTCCCCTGTGGCCTTTGTAGATTCGCTTAGGGTCTCCTTCGATGTTTCATAATGTAAGTTCTGGACTGCTTCCTCCTGAATGGAGGTATGTGGTTGATTTGCCCCACATTCCGACAGATTCAACACCTCATTTCCTGTAAAATTTGCACTCCAAGCCTCACCTTGAATTGTAGGTTCTTTTGTGGTACTGCAGCTTTCGAAAAAATCCACAGCTACTTCTGCTTTGCGTATTACTCCACCGGATAAAGAACTGAGATTCTCCCGCACTTCCTTTTGAGCCAACTCATTTGCCAACAATTCTGCTGCCAAGTTATCCTCAGAAATCATGGGTTCTTCAATGGAATTTTGCTCTGTAATATCATCGGCAACTTTTTGCGGAATCTCAGGAATTAAGAGAACCTTGCCCTCTGCCAAATCCTCCACCTCCTTGGCGACAATTATTTTTTCCGATTTGGCCAATTCATTTATTTCCTCATCGGATAAATGGACAATATCGTTGGGAAAACTGGGTGAGGTCTCTGCCCTCTTTTCACCCTCATCAGCTTCAGCCACCTCCGATTCCATGAGGCTACGTATGACCTCACACGTTTCACAGGTGGGATCTGTACAGATATGTTTCTCCTCCGCTGCAGATTCCTCCTCTACATCCTCGCTATTGATGACAAACCGTTCTCGGAAATCTTCCGAATTGATGACACCCAGCACCAAAGTCTTCAATGGCAGTGGACCCACTTCCGCACAATGTTCTGGACTTGCCTGCATAGAGTAATTTTTTATCGACTGCCTTTTAATGAGAGGTAAATGTTTCTCCTTCAAATCGGCCATATAATCCTTGACCATTTGACTGCGATGTTGAGGATAACGGCGGATATTTTGCATGGCTTTGTAATAAAACGAGGAAGGTTTCCTGCGACGCTTCGTCGCGGACTTATTCGTTGAGGAATGACTAAGGGTTCTATTGCGTGACTTTTTCGTGTAGGCCTGTGGAAAATTTGACTCCTTGCCTGAACTATCCTCTTCATTGCTGCAACGGGATTTTTTGTTCTCCTTTGCGGGTAGTTCTTCATTATTTTTGTTGACCGAAGTTTCATCACGCAGTTTTCGTTTACGTTTATAGAATTTCGAAAAATCTTGTACCTTCTGTTCAATATCCTTATCGGCCTTGGTTTGAGTTTCACTGCTGGAGATTTTATTGATAAAGGTCTGGTATTCCTTTTCGAACAGCGAAGATTCGTTGGAGTGCCGACTGCAGCTACTGTCATAACCTTCGGCATCATTTTGCGCTGAGGCAGTGGGACGTGTTGGTGGCGGGATGGTCGAGTTTGTTTTCGAAGTTTCGAAATTTAAATCTTCAAAGGACAAGGGTGGATTTTCCGTCTCTACCGAGTCTTTTTTGCTGGGTTCTGCAGCCGGGGTGGTGCAGTTATTTGCGGGGAGTGGTGGCTTCACAATCACCGTATCCAATTCGCCAGGTTTACGCTGCAATTGTTGTAGCTGATCCAATTCCTTTTCCACATCGAAATTATCCAAAGTTAAGGAAGTGGCGGCGGAAGTTTCATTTACGTTGGGCGCCACTGTGCTACTGCCAAAACTACCTGACTTTTCAATATCCACTATGATATCTGGTAAATTGGTATAATTTTGGGCATCTATATCCTCACCTAAACTAGTGCTTCCCGCTTGAGGTTCCTGCGGCACTTTCTGAGATTTTTGCTCCTCGGCAGGGAAATTGGTGGTATTTTCAACCTGGACATTTTGCAGAACTTCATTGATCACTCCCGCCCCAGTTTGCTGCTGCTGATCAAATGCCATTAATTCGTCATTGCCGGTCGTATAATCCTCCTCATCATCATTCCAATTGGCAATGAAATCGCGTAGACTTAAATTTTTGGTCGAATCATCTGCTGAGGATTTTCCAGCGTTCTCTGAGGTACTCAACATATTCCCCGATTCATTGGAGTTGATAGCATAATGGGTATTATTTTCATAATTCGTAAAGTGATTGTGGCTGGTTGTGTCATGCGAACTCAGAAGTAAATCTCCTCCCGAATGTTGCGATGATTCCGCATAACCTGTGCCCAGAATTTCACTTCTCCCTGATGACGCCGTTTGATGGTAGTAATTCTGTGTCTGAGGTTTACGATAATCCAATAAGGCACGCTTGGCCGCCGATACAGCATAATTTGTGGCTGCCATTTCGGCAGCGGGTCCACCGCTACCCACGTTGCTTGCAGGGTTGGCATTTAGATTGGACGTCGTCGAGATCGTTTCATGCAGGTAACTATCGTATGTGAGATCATTGGTATAACCTGATCCGGTGGGATCATGAGCAATTAACGGACCTGCCGGTTGTTGGCCATGACTTGCAGGATGCGGCGGAGCAGGCGGATGATGAGCAGTGGCGGTCGGGTGGTGAGCCATTTGATTTGAGGCCGTGTACAAGGCTTGATTACCAGACAAGGCGGAGCCAGCACCTGCGGCAGCATACTGATAACTAGCGGGATGCCGGTGATGATGACTCAGGTGACTCGGAGGCACATTGGCAGTTGTGGCATCATAGTGGGCGCCCAAATAGAGATCATTGGCGGGAGGTTTCAGTTTATTTACAGCGGGATAATCCATGGCATTTGTCGAATATTTAGAGAGAGCGGGTTGATTGACCAGATGTCCGCCTTGTTGGCTTGCAAGGCCTTGTGGAGAACCATGATAAGCTGAGGCGGCTTGACCCATTGCTGCCATGGGCGGTTGACCATGAGTTATACGTCCTGAGGCTGCAGCACCGGGGGGATAATAACAATTTTGTGCCGCATAAGGAGGCTGAGGACAACATGGCTGGCGTGCCGACATGCCAGTCGGGGTAGTCGAGGCGGCATAGTAGGGATTTACGCCGGCATGCATGGTGGCATGAGGAATGTGATTTGGAGCTCCGCTTAGTCGATCATTTAACGAACTATGACTGCCAGCAGAAGGCCACAAATGATGAGGATGATGCCTGGCGGATGGCGGACTCACATAGGCATTTTGTTGATAAGGTGGTGGGGGTGCTGCGGCAGGATATTTCATTGCATATTTATCAGCGGGCAAGTAGTAGGGGTCTCGATGGTGACTCGAATAACTTGCATGGGTGGGTGCCACAGTGGCGGTGGGTAAATGTCCCGCAGCGGAGGATGCTCCTCCTCCTGCAGCTCCACTACCAGCAACTGGTCTACTGCTTCCTCCCGCCGCTGCATAATCCATAGCCCAAGGCCAAGCTGATGAGTTGAGCTGTCCTGTTGCACCGCTGCTATTCTTGCGATAAACTGCCTCCAGTGATGAGGATTCATAACCCAAGGGCGCCGTTGGATAGGCTGTTGAGGGATACATATAGCCGGGATTTGGTGGTAGTATGGATGATGCCGCAGCATGTTGCCCTGGGTAGTAGCTACCACTTGCATAAAGAGATTTAGCCGCAGTGGGTCCGTAACTGGATGCCTCCTTTAGTTGCGACTTTGCGGCGGCATAATATTTCTGTTGCTGATGATAGACCGAGGCATTGGAAAAGCCCCCGGCGGCCCCGGCACCGAACTGATCATGATGATGATATTCCAAAGGCATTTTGTGTTTTTGTAGATCAGCATAATAGCTGGCGGCAGGTTGTGACTGTGCCAGCGGTTGGGCATAGAAGGGTGTGGCAGCAGCTTGAGGCTTTGTGGTGGCCACCGATGATGTGGCATTGCTTGTGGAGGTGGACATTGAGGCCAAAAGAGAGCTAGATGAACGGGACTTTGAGGCAGCAGCGCCGGAGGAGGAGGATGAGGGTGATGCCGAAGAACCACCTGATGCCGGCGAGGATGACGAGGAGGAACAGGGAATTGTGGCAGCAGTAGATAGGGAACCAGAGGATGCTGATGCTGCCGAAGCTTGGCCAAATTGCTGATTGTGTTTTGCCGCGGATTCATTTTGATAGGCTTGATGACCGCTTAGAGAACGCTGACGTTCATAGGAGATGGCTGAGGATCCACTAGACTTATAACTATGACCCATAGACTGTTGATAGGGTGTGAGATTATTTACCTGGAGATTGGAATGCGATGAATTGGTATCGAAATTACCCGCCGAACCTAGACCATAAGCCGATGAGGCAGGACCATGAGAGAGCTGTTGCTGATGCGGCAAAGGAGTGGCTTCCTGTTGATTGTATTGCTGCTGACTATAATCATACGAAGAATACGAAGAGGAGGCGAAGGACGACAAATATGGCTGGGATCTTTGGGTATGTTGTGGCAACTGAGGATGAAGCGACTGCTGTTGCGGCACCGGGTGTTGTTGTTGCTGCGATAAATTCAAATTCGTTTGGGAATGTTGTTGCTGCAGATGTTGAGAGGCCGTCGAATGCAGGGGATATTGCGATTGCAGGTGTTGTTGGGTGGAATAATTTTGCGTTTCATGAGCCTGATTGGTTATAGCTTCACTGTAGAATGGTGAGACTGTGGCCACTGTTGTTGCAACGGGTATTATGGGTTCGGCAATGGCCACCGGTGTTGTCGAAGTGCTATGTGTTTCATAACTGTTGGTGGGTGTTGCCGAGGTACTACCATAACCACTGCTATTGCTGCTGGTGCTACTGTTACTGCTACCGCCGCTACTGTTGGTGCTGCTGCTGCCGGCTCCTCCATTAGCTCCACCACTGCCATGACCAATAATTAGGCTGCTGCTACTACTTAGGCTACTGTTGCTACTATTGCTTGCCGAGCTAATGATATTGCTGTGTATTAAACTACTGTGGTGCTGCGGGTAATGTTGTTGTTGTTGCTGATGCGGCTGTTGCTGCGGATGATGATGGTCATGGTGGTGACCCGCCGCACCATTGTTGCTGTGGCTCAGATTACCATTGATGATAACTGGATTTGAGGCTGGTGATGATGCGGATGATGGCGACGCTGATGTGGCTGTTCGGTTGGCTGCAACAATTGATGATACTGCTGCTACCGCACCACCAGCTGTCTCCATTATTTAAACTCTGATCCAGATTTTTTGTTGTTGTTGTTGTTGTTGTTTTTGTAGGTTGTTGTTGTGATTGTTTTACCGTTTCCTAAGGCCATACATTGGAGCTGAATTTTGATTTGTTGATCTGCAAAATGGAGATAAGAAAATGGGGGAAATTAAAAAAAAATTCGAACAAAAACAATTGTAAAAAAATAGGTATTGAGTTTTGAAAATCGAAATCATGCGTTGCAAATTAAGTAGAACATGGACATTAAAAAATAATAATATTTTTTTAAATAATTTTTGTCGTTCGTTTCGTTAGATAAAAATCGGAAAAAATATGTTTAATTGATTTTTTTTTAAAAAAATATTTGTTTTAAAAAATAACAAAATAAGTACTCGTATTTTACGGCAAGAAGCGCGGGTGCTGGAAAAATATTCATTAATGTATTTTCGATACGTGGGTTTTTCAGGAATCATACCAAGGTGAGGATTTCTTAAAAACTATTTTTTCAGGGTCCATAAGACGCGTGGATTTAACAAAATCCAGGGCGTTGGATTATTAATGAATATTGTTTCAAGGCCAAATAATTAACGGAAATGTTAAAGAATGTTTGTAAGGGTCTCTAATTGGATTTGTTAAATAAATTTCAACGGTCTGGAATATTTCAAAGGCCAAAATAATCTACAGATTTTTTAAGAATAATTTTCCAGATCCTATTACAATCGAGGATTTATTAAAGAATATTTTTTTAAGGTATGTTAGGGATCTGGATTTCACGGACCAAATAATTTAATTTTTAATTTTTTTTTTAATTTTTGTTCATGCTTTAATAGAGGCCTTGATTTTCTAAAGAAGAATTCCAGTCTCTATTAGAGACATGGATTTTTGTTTTAAGAATATTTTTTCATCTACGGATTTTAAGGAATTTTTTCAAGGACAAAATAATTTCGTAAGAATATTTTTGAGGGTCTACAGGAGGCGTGGATTTATTAAAGAATATTTTTTAAGGGCCCTTTTCGAAGACGCAGATTTAAAAAAAAATTCGAGGAACCAAGAAAGGCGTAGATTTTTTTTAAAATATATTTTGAGGACCAAAAAATGGTTCGAATTTTTAAAAATATTTTTTCGAGGACCAAAGAATGGAGCATATTTTTTTCGAGGACCAATAAAAGACGTAGTTTAAAAAAAAAATGAAATGTTCATTCCTATTTTTTCAAGATTTATTAAAAAATATTTTTCAAGGCTCTCAAAGGGGCGTATATATTTTAAAGACTATTTGTCCTGGTCCAAATAATTTACGAATTGTTAAAAAAAAAATTCATGAATATATTTTTAAGGCCCCAATAAGCGACGGATTTTTAAAGAATATGTTTTCAGGGGTCTACTATAGTGTATTTATACCCTTCACCACACTGTGTTACAGGGTATTATGTCTTTGTACATATGTTTGTAACAGGCAAAAGGAATCGAGATAGACCCAGGTTCCTTTTGAAAATATGCATAGAATCACTTTCTGAGTCGATTTACGCATGTCCGTCCGTCCGTCTGTCCATGTTGAATTGTAAACAAAGTACAGGTCGCATTTATGATCTGAATTGGATGAAATTTGGCATAGACCACTTATTTGGCTCAAGGACGAACCCTATTGAAATTGGGAAAAATCGGTTCATTTTCAGATATAGCTCCCATAAATATTTTCGTCCGATTTTATGTGAATGGTGTACCAAAGTTCCTATATATCTATCGATTTGCACGAAATTTGGCACAGCGTAATGAATTAGGTCTAGAATTATGTGTGTTAAGTTTCGTGAAAATCGGTTCAGATTTAGATATAGCTCTTCCCATATATATTTTCGTCCGATTTTATGTTAATGGTACATTAAAGTCCCAATATATCTTCCGATTCGCATGAAATTTTGCATAGCGTAATGAATTAGGTCTAGAATTATGTGTGTTAAGTTTCCTGAAAATCGGCCCAGATTGAGATATAGTTGCCATATATATTTTCGTGCGATTTAATGTAAATGGTGTACCAAAGTACCTATATATCATTTGATATGCACGAAATTTGGCATAGCGTAATGAATTAGGTCTAGAATGATGTGTGTTAAGTTTCATGAAAATCGGTCCAGATTTAGATATAGTTGCCATATATATTAACGCCTGGCCCCATGTGATGGAGCAAGTTTGAAGCCCGCAAAAAGATTTTAAATTGAACAAACCAGTTTTGCCAAGTCATTTTGAGGTTAAGTGCTTTAAAATCCATGTGGATATGGCATCTACATATATATTTCGTTCGATTTTACACAAAATTGACACAATTTTTGCACAACGTACTGAATTTTGTATAACCTAGATGTTGTATATAAATGTTTCACCAAAGTGGGGGTCCAATCGGCACAAGATTTAGCACTACGTACTGAAGTTACTATAACATAACGTGTGGCAAGTTTAATCGATTTTGATTTAGATGTAGCTCCTATATATAGTATCGTACGATTTTAGGTCCGGCCCCGTCCGACTTTACTACTTTCCTGGTTACTGGTTAAAGAATATTTTTCAAGGACCAAATGATATACGAAGTTTTTTAAGAATATTTTTTCAAGGTCCCCATAATCTCCTAGATAATCTCCTAGATAAATAATCTACGGATTTTCTTATATTTTTTTTTCACAAACAAATAATCTATGGATTTTTAAAAGATTGTTTTTTTTTAATCTACGGCTGTTCTGAAATCTGATTTTTTTTTTTTTTTTGAAAAATCTACGTGTGTTCTGAAATTTGAAAATATATTTTTATAAAATCCAAAAACCTGGTATTGGTCTTTGGAAAAAATATTTTTTAAAAATCAGCGCCTTAGATGAACCTTGAAAAAATATTTTTAAAAATACCCTCTTGTTAGATGTTGACTTTTATAGACTTTTTGTTACTTTATATATATAGTTGTTTTTAATAAAATTTATTTATATACACTTCATCACTCCAAATATTTTATGCACCTTTATTTTAATTTTTTATGGTATTCGGATTTTAATATTTTATTAAGAGCACAGACGATTTGTATTTTTTTAACAATATCCCAGCGATTTAATTGCGCGTTTTTTGTTCCACACCAAACAGGTCGTCCTTTCAAAGCGTTTTAAACAAATAACTGTGACTGGCGGCTATTCCGAACAATAAAAAAGGAGCAACAACCACATTTGTGCTCCATGTACAGGAGGAAGAAACCCTGAAAAAACACACGGAAAACATGGAAAACTTTCACTCAGAGAAAAAAAAATAAAAGTGAACGGGGAAAAAACCAACCAACAACTATGAAAAACCCCTGAATCCTCATAGAGATAGAGAGACACACTAACACAAAGACAACAACAACAACAATAGCAAAAGGTGTCATTAGGGCCATGGTGTAGTAAAGAGGGGAAGAGGAGGGTTCGGTGGAAGTAATACAAATAAAAACAACCATACAAAAATAAATGGTTTCCCTGGTCTTCCCCCCTTTTCCACTGAAAGCGAATGCAAATGCATTTGTATTGACAGGCAGAATGACTATCTGTCTGTCCGAATGGTATTCAACTACCATTGATGGTAGTTTTTATTTAGTTTTGTATTTTTTTCTATATGGAATATGGTCATATCCTTGTGTAGGTGTGTGTGTTGTTGTTGTTTTTGTTTCAGGGAAACCTAAAACAAATCCTCATTAAATATTAATAATTAAATGTCATTTTGAGTTTTTATGTTCCTCCTCATCATGGTTTTGGTGGTAATGGTGGTTGTGGTGGTGACGGTAGTTCTACTTTTTTACCGAACAGAAGCTTTGCCATTGCATACCATCTGATTTCAGTTCCATGCTTATCAGGTCACTCAGTCATATCCTCATTCATTTATTCATAGACGGTGGTAGACTAACCCAATCGTCTGTTTACATGGCAGTCATACAGTCTGATGGGAACGTACACACCACCCACCCCCGCCAACAACAATTTGATGGCATGCAGGTGGAATAGGGATGACATTTAAGGAAAAAAATTCTTCGAAAATGGGAACCTAATTTTCAAGGGCCTCAATGAGACGTGGATTTTTTACAGAACATTTTTTCAAGGCTCTACAAGAGGCGTGGATGTTTTAAAGAATATTTTTTCAAAGGCCTATAGAAGGCGTGGATTTTTTAAAGAATATTTTTTCAAGGCTCTACAAGAAGCGTGGATTTTTTAAAGAAGACTTTTTTCAAGGGTCGACCACAAGAGGCGTGGATTTTTTAAAGAAGACTTTTTTCAAGGGTCGACCACAAGAGGCGTGGATTTTTTAAAGAAGACTTTTTTCAAGGGTCGACCACAAGAGGCGTGGATTTTTTAAAGAAGACTTTTTTCAAGGGTCGACCACAAGAGGCGTGGATTTTTTAAAGAAGACTTTTTTCAAGGGTCGACCACAAGAGGCGTGGATTTTTTAAAGAAGACTTTTTTCAAGGGACGACCACAAGAGGCGTGGATTTTTTAAAGAAGACTTTTTTCAAGGGTCGACCACAAGAGGCGTGGATTTTTTAAAGAAGACTTTTTTCAAGGGTCGACCACAAGAGGCGTGGATTTTTTAAAGAATATTTTTCAAGCGTCTACCTACAAGAGGCGTGGATTTTTTAAAGAATATTTTTCAAGCGTCTACCTACAAGAGGCGTGGATTTTTTAAATAATATTTTTCAAGGCTCTACAAGAGGAGTGGATTTTTTAAAGAATATTTTTTCAAGGCTCTACAAGAGGCGTGGATTTTTTAAAGAATATTTTTTAAGCACCTACAAGAGGCGTGGATTTTTTAAAGAATATTTTTTAAGCACCTACAAGAGGCGTGGATTTTTTAAAGAATATTTTTTAAGCACCTACAAGAGGCGTGGATTTTTTAAAGAATATTTTTAAGCACCTACAAGAGGCGTGGATTTTTTAAAGAATATTTTTTAAGCACCTACAAGAGGCGTGGATTTTTTAAAGAATATTTTTTAAGCACCTACAAGAGGCGTGGATTTTTTAAA